AAAAAACAAAAATGCTTTGCGAAAAGAAATTACAGACTATTGAATTATCTTTAGAAGAATAGATGAATTTTATATTAAGTTAATTGAGAATTAAAATACAGAACTCTTAATTTTGTGATAACAGTTGATATTCTCCTATTTAAAAAAGTTAATTTAATCTTGTTAAATGAAAATAAAATATTTTAATGGTATTTTTATTCTTTATTGATGTTTTGATGTAACAGAATACACTTAATTGCAGCCACCTATTTCAATATTACAGTATTTTTTCATACTATAATTATTGTTAAATATAATTTGAGGTTTTTTAGTATTCATAATGGAAATGATTAATTAAAATATTCTATTATGATGTAACAGTAAAAAACATAATATAAAATATTAATATAGTTTTAATATACATCATATGCATAATAATTTATTAATATCATAGCATAAGCATAAATTCTTGTCAACAGACATTATTTTTCAACACAATCTACTCAAACTCAAGGCTACCAAGCTAATCTGTTTTCCATACATTTCCATTAAATAATATAATAAAATGATACAAACAAATGTTATGTATTTTTTAGTTTTGTTACTGACTATATAGTGATGTCATCATGCAATATCTGATTTATATATATTATGATAAACTTAGCACATTCAGCAGAATTTAATGTGTGAATATCAAATATTGTTCTTTGTTTCTTTCTAATTTAATATTTGGGTACATGCTACAGAACGATGAGGTTACGTTCCAAGAAATACATTGTTAAACAAACATCACAGAATATACTTAGACAAATTTATATGGTATAGTCTCCTACTCATATAGGCTATATGTAACACAGTGATAAGTATTTACATATCTAAACATAGAAAAGGTACTAGTGGCTAAGAATTTTTTGGCTTCATTATAATCTTATGGGACCTCTACCATACATGTGGTTAGTCATTAAATGGCACAAACCTGTAATTAAAATCACGTAACATAGATTTTTATAGGCCTTATATTTCTTATTTTGATGTTTATAAATAATAGTATAATTGTACTTCTCTGCATGCCTATGTACAAGATTTTTAAAAGTGTATTGTTTTCAAAAATATTATTTTTTCATAACATAGTTTATTAGTTTTTACAAAATAGGTATATAGTGTAATACAGTGCATAGATTTTATTTAATTTTAAAATTCTTTCCAAATGGTGAGGGTTTAGCCCCGAAACTTTTCTTGTGTGCACTGTCTTGCATCTGCATTATCAATACTATAAATTTTGCAAAATAATGCAAATCAAAGTATTTTCATGGATTTATATTAGGTGTGGAATTTTTAATTTTGATATTGAAATTTTGTCTTAGATTATAGAACAGAACGTGTTAAACATTAATTTCTGCCACTCATTTTATATGTTGTGAAAGTTGTTCTTATTGCTTCTTGATAACAAGCACTGAGTTCAGCATTAACACAATTTTCTTATATTGCAAGTACTTTCAACGAGTATTATATTGTTGTCCTCAGGCGAAAAAGAACAAATTTGAAAAAATAGAATGTGCAAAGTGTTCCAAGTAGAAAACAGAAAATTTTCTTGTCAATTTTTAAATTATAACGTTCGGTAATTCCGTTGGTAACATACAACAAGCTTTTGCGGGCATTTGATAGATCTTAAATCCACATGACTAGCAGCGCATGCGTTGAGGAGCGATCATACTAATTGTGCAACTCTTGGCACATTTTGTTGTTTAAATGCTGGTATAAAGTAACCCATATTTCAGGCAAGCCGAGGGTAGGGATGTTGCATGCGCCTGTGGTCATTATGAGGAGTGTTTCCCAAATAAATGTAATCCTTCTGTTATTACAGCACTTGAGCAATGCTGTCTTTGACCATAACGGGTTATAGCCCTGCTGTAGAACTTTTCTGGCGAGCTTTGTGATCTGTCTTCCTTTGTTTATATCCTCCTGATGTTCTGCGATATGGCTAGCGAGCATTCTTGTCGTTGCCCCTATATACTTCTCAATTATCTCCGTTACTGGATTTTCTAGTTGCACTGCATATACTCCCGATTTTTCTAAAACGTCAACTTTATCCCAATCATTGCATATGCTCCTGCGTAGGCTGGGTAGGGGAGTTAAAGGAAGGGTAAAGCTGTATCACCGGAAAACACTGCTAATAAGTCTGGACGGTGCTCCTAGGTATGGCAATGCTGATTGTACTTTAGGCATTTCTTTTTTGCTGTATAGTGTGGTAAATGGGAAAAGGGAATCTTTTACCCTACGTAGTACATGCGTAAATTTGGCATCTGTGAATCCAGTGTGATGTACTGCTGTTCTTACGATTTCCAATTTCATTTATGTCATTGTTGTTCTTATTAAATTCCTTATAATTCTCTATATTTTTAAATTCAGGAGATTGAAAACTAAATTTTGTAAATGCAATAAAGTTAGATGGCTATTAATGCTCCTACAATTTATTTACTTTTTTGGTAAAGATTTAGTTTTTTCTGACTTTTTAAAGTTTTACTTAAAACTTTAGGACTGTCCTTGAATTACATAATGCAAATGTAGGTGGGTATGCAAGAAATCATTATGACAAGTTACGAGGGGTGAGGCATTTGCAAAAACATTATGTAATGCTAGGGTTTTTAAACTGACTAGTGTCATTTGTTAAATATCTAGGGATTAAGCCTAAAGAGTCTTTTCATTGAACGGTGATGGCTTCTCAGATTTGACTATAACTTTTGTCATCTAATTTGCAAAAACAAACATGTTGCAACAACTCTACTGTTTATGTCATTGCTTTGTATGTTATACATATAATTAATAAAATAATGTGACATTTGGTACACTTGCCATGTATCTTGGTATCATTCCTTGATACAATTAAGGGGGTTGATCAAAGATTACATAATTTTAGATAGGAATGAGTGATGGTTTTGCAGGGCATTTCAGGGGTGGAAAGCAGAATGATAGTTGAAAAGTATAAAAATAATGTTATGTAATTTACAGACAATCACTTAACATACATTTTATGATTAATTGTATTAACATCTGTCTGCTTACTGATGAAACTACAGAGACATTTTATTTAGTTAATAATTTAAATAGAAATCTATAAAAAAAAATTGAAGCATATCTAAAGCATTATACTGTATTATGAATTATATCATATAAATCAATGAATTAAAATCTGAACTAAAAATATATTTTGTTTCAAAGAGAAGAAATGTAATTCAATAAATATTATTCATAAGTACTTCGGATAACATTAAAATTACTGTCTTTTGGTATTTATGGTAGAAAAATGGAGTGAGAACTTTTAACATTTAAATTTGAAACATTACTTGATTTTTTTTTATTATGGAAGTACTTGCAAAGAAATTTTCATGGCAAGTCAGCCTGAATATATTGATCCCCATCTCTTGCCACTTGGCCATCTCCGTTGTGCTTGGACAAATCCACGAATATGGGAAAAAAGACTTTTTTAGCAACTGCAAAATGGAAAAATAAGCAAACTAAAAAACATTTGTAAAGACTGCATTTGTTACAAATGATTAGCAGTTGCTAACCACTATTAAGTTATATCATTCGTTATGGTATGGTATGGTATGGTATGGTAATTGGCATCTATTCAGCGGTGTAGCATAGTGGGGGTGGCACTTTTTAGGGGGTGGCAAAATTTCACAATAAATAATAATATCTTGTAAAAATTTGAACCATTTCATTTCATAATTTCGTCACATCTATGATTCAGACCGATTGAAATGAGCACAGAATGGCGTCCGGGTGAACTATTAATTTTACCTGGGGATATTGTGCGCAACCTGTCGACCCCCCCTTTTTTTTTTTTTTCTTTTGCTTGTACGATTTATTTGTGTTCATATACATCTCCAATATCCAATAGAGCTACGTCGTCTAGGTTACTTATGTTACTCCTACGCAAGTCTCCCTAGTCGCTAACTGTAACTGATTTAGAACCGTCATGCACTGCACATTATTCTTCGCATTGCAAAATGACATGCACAAGTGTCAGGAACTTCTGTTCGAACAAACCTCACCTGTTGTCTGGGTCAGCGATTTTAAAAAGGTGGCAACACTAGCACGGAATTTTTCATTACTTATTCTGTGACGAAACTGAATTTTAGTCTTCTAAATTCAGATACCTAAATAAGGGGACAGCAAAATTTTCCTTTGCCCCGGGTGGCTGACACCCATGCTACGCCACTGCGTATCTATTAACAATGTGTGTTATCAAAAATAATACTTTTAGTTATTTTGTATGTGAGTATAGTTTGGGAATTAGAGTACTAATTAAGCATTTAGATACTAAGCCTGTTTTTATAACAAAAGAAGTTATTCAGCAAAATTAATCAATGCATCTTTAACAGTGGACAAAGTTTAAAGAATGCTAACATTTTGATCTAGTTAACAAGCCATCTTCAATCATAGACAGTCAAAAGTGAAAAATTCCACTTTCAACTGTCTATGACCAGAGAGGGTTTATCTTATAATATTAGAAAAATTAAGGAATGAAAGGTATAAATATTCTAAAGAGAAAAATGTATTTTTTACTTTTTTACATTTTTTAAAAAAAATACGTTTTTTTAAAAAATGTATTTTTTTTATTTAAAAATTTTGGTTTTCATTCTTGGTTTGTAATTATTGTACTGTACCTTGATATTTTATAATTAAATTATGCCATTACCATTTATAGAATGCAAGATATTGGATCATTTTCATCAAAAACATTTTGTACTTTTTCCTTTTTTATATTTGAAAAAGGAAAGTCTTCTTAAATATCAATTAAAAGGTGAAAACATACTTAAAATATTTATCCTTATTTTTTAAATTTTAAAAATGTATTACCAAAAAGAATCACTTCATAATGAAAGATTGATATTTTTACTAGGAAATGACCAATTTAAAAGAACTTTTAATAAAACATTTGAATATTTTTAATAATCAATGAATCTGATTTAATTAAATGCAGTTAACTTGAGTGTTAAAAAATTTTATTTCAGGTTGTTCTCCTCCTTACTCATCTTCGGCCGCAGTATTCGTTTTCTCACAATAGAAAAAATCCACCGGTGATAATAGGAATGGTGGCTTTGGCGATCGCTCTTCCGCCACCTTCCATGAATGAAGTTCGCCTAGAAAGCGACATGTTTGTCACGAGATTAACTTTCGACTTCAGGATAGTGCACTGCGAACCCAGGTATGTTTCTATTTGTTTATTTTGGACATATAATATGGCATGCCTCCAAACTCTTAAAGTATGTTTATGAATATGATTTATAAAAATTAATATATTTAACTTAATTAATTACAAAAAACATAAGTAATCAGATATTTTTAATGTTGAAAATGCTGAAGGAAAACATGAAAAAATTAATATATAATTTTATTTAAAAGAAAAGTATATATCAATATTTATATGAAGAAAAGAATATTTGCATTTTTTTTTTAAAACTTATCTTCAAAATTTATGATGCTGATTTTATTTGTAATTTAAAAATATTCACTTATCAGTACCAAAAGCATTTATTAATTAATTATTAAAAAATAAATTTATTTGCTTTTTGATTAATTAATTAATTTATTTATTTATTTTATTTACTGTATAAAAATCAGTTATCAGTTTTTTATTAAATTTAAGTGTTTTACCAAAATGAAAAATAATACCAAAAAACATTTCTCAAAGATTTTTTTGCCATTGTTTTCCTTAAGTAGCTCTTTCTTCTTCTTATTATTATTATTATTTGTCTTTGTTTAATAATAATTTTTGATACCAATATAAATGGAATTTCTGAATGTCTTCAATAAATTTTGATTTCTAAAGTAAAGGTGTATTTGATGTTATAGTCTAACATTGCTCAGCATTGAGAAAAACTCAAAAGAATTACACAATACTCTTCATATTCATCTGGATATTCATTCAAATGAACATTTTTGGCCACATTCAGGGTCTTCCTCAGGCTTCAACTGTTAAAAGTTGAACATTTACTGAAATTTTAAATTGAAACTTTATACAATTTTCTTCTTTTGATGTTACAACATTTGAATAACTACAAATTTTATCAGAAAATGTACTTATTTAAATATACAATAAACACGTGTATAATATCTATATCTTTTATTATATACAATAATATTTATACTTAAATAAATGCATTTTCTGATAAACCTTATAATTATTCAAATGATTTGATGTCAAAAGAAAGAATTTGGACAAAGTTCCAATTTAGAATCTTGGCAAATATTTAATTTGTAATGTGAAACCCAAATTGGGCCCCCAAATCAGGCCTAAAATGCTTACTTGAATAAAAATATTTTCTTGCTGGAAAGAGTGCAAAGGGTGTTGTGTAATTCAGTTCCAGCTTCAAAGGAGTTGTGACAAAAAATTAAAATACATTTTTACAATTTTTAATATATTTTTTTCTTTCACTTTCTAAGAAAAAATATAAAAACAACATTTTTCATTAATAGTTTATGATATAAGTCAAAATTTTAAATAATTATAAAATAAACAAAATTTAAAACCTGAGGTAAAGATAGCTGGATGGCCAAATCGTTAAGGTAACAGTTCATAGCTGCTCTTGCAGAATGAATCTAGATGGGTTAAAAAAATCCCAGAAATGATTCTGGGTGTGGTTTGTCCAGATATATCAGACTCCATTCCTTGCCACCCCACCCATAGGGCAAAAAGAGTTAAGACAATCTATGATAAAATTGCTTTTAAAGAAAAAAGCTTATAATTTTAAATTCTATTTATTATAATAGAGTGTCAGAATTATTAGACTATACGGCCGAAGAAATGACTGGGAAAAATATGTATTTACTCTGTCATGGCCAAGATGTCCAGAAATTAAGGCAGTGCCATATTGACTGTAAGTATTCAAATGATGAATATCTAATACAAATACAATTAATATTTATTTACATTGCTATTATAAGATACAAATAATGAGATGTAATAGACAATTATTATGCAAAAAGAAAGAAAAAAAATTAGAAAATGTTATCATTTTTTTCTCATTTTATTTAAATTATCAAATTTATCTTTATATTTTGCTATTTATGTAAAATATTACATTAAATATTTTATGTATAGCTCAATTCTGTCTTAAATTAAAATCAGTAACAATAAATTTTAATATATTCATAATAAAACTTATATATATTCATAGGAAAAGTATATTTAACTAATTATATTTTAAAATTTTAGTAATACATAAAGGTCAAGTGATGAGTGAATATTATCGTGTGATGAATAAAACTGGAGGTTATACGTGGATACAGACTTGTGCTACGATTATATGTAACAACAAAAGTTCTGAAGAACAGAGTATCATATGTGTAAATTATGTTTTAAGGTAAGTATTTAAATGTTAAAAATATAATTTAATATGGTCATTGTTGAAATTGTATACTTGTGAAATAGTATAACGAGTGATGTATAAATGGAACTCTTTCCCAAATGTAATGACATTAAACAAATAAAATAGAAAATTTTTCAAAGACAAAAATTTTAATGATATTGTTGGTTTTAAGTTGTGCAAGACAAGCATTAATGAATTTGATTAAGAAAAATAAATAATCATTAAAGTTTCATTTCACAATATAAAAAAGGAAACAAAGGTTTGGATGTCAAAATGCAGTCATTTATAATAATAATACAGCTTTGTTGTCCCTGCAAATATATAAAAGATATACTTTCTACCTTAATACTTAACTGCACAACACACCGGGATAAATATAAACAGTGCGACTCACATTAACTAGTTGACTGGTGTGTCTATGATTAAAACTTGTGAACATTTTCATAGTCTCTTCTGGACTCTTCCTCAGGCTTCTTTTTTATTCAAAACAAGCTGGCAGTTAACATTCAAATATAAATCTAATGGTAATAGCTTTTGGATACCATACGCACATGCATTCCCCTTAAGATGTTTAAACATCTTAAGGGGAACACATTGATAAACACTTGACAAACACAAGAAAAATAACTTTCCATTTCTCGTTCTTTTTCCTTTTTAAATCTTCCCTCCCCTTTATATATTCTATTGACTAATAATGACCATTCATGTTAGGGGTGGCACTAAATCCCAGAATGGATTAAAAAGGAAAAGAAGTGAATTTTAAGGAAAAAAAGAAATAAAGAAAAGAAATTAGATTAGCCTAAATGTAAAATGAATGATTTAATATATATATATAATAAACTGTGATTTTCTTTTCCTTTTAAAGAAACCACAGTATTATTGACAATTTTGCAGACATAAAAAGATAGAAAATAATATATTAACAAAAGTAAATAAAATTTGTTTACTGTTACTTTATGAGATATGTACTTTACATGGTAGACTTGCTGCAGGTATATTAACAATCTAGTTATAGTATTGCATAAACTTTCAGAGTTTTTTGCAGCTATGTTGATAGGAAATAGCCTTAAATTATTTTTATATTTATAATTTGCAGGCTACTTATTGCAACAAAATACACTATTCATAATAGAAATCAGGGGTGTAGTGAAATTAAAAATCTGTAGTCATATCAGGGATTTAAATTACAAAGATTAATTACACTTTAGTTTAGTTGCATACAGTTCATTCAAACAAGCACACAAAATGTAGTCTCCCAGATAATTCAAGCACTTGCCAGTACATGAAAGCAATTTTTGTATGCCATAAGCAAATAATGCAGGCTTTGCACCATTTTCTTGTAGCTTCCTGCACTTCCATAACACCTAAATTGGCTGCTACATCAATGCCTTTTTTTTTCAAAGTCCAAATATGTGAAAATATCTTGGAGCCAAATCTGGACAGTATGGTGGATGATCCTCATACTGTTGTCAAAATTTCAGTAGCAAGTTCTTTGTCTGTGTGACTGCACCAGACCATGCATTGTCATGTAAAACCGCTATACCTTTAGAAAGATATATGGGTCTCTTTCTTACATTGTTGATGAATTTTTGTCACAGATGGGAATTTGGTGAAAAAAGTATAACAATACCACAAACTTTCAAGATCATGTTACCGTTTTCAGCAGCTGTTACTACACATCTGTGAGATGCAGACCCAGGACAGAAGCCTGTCCACTAGCTGTAAGTACAATATTGAGCATACAGACATAATTTCAACATAATAAATATTCATCTTTTCAATGTTTAGTACTGGTCTTTGCTTTTCCAATGAACCCTCATATATTCACAAATTAAATTATGAATATAGGCAATGAGTTCTGGTGAATCACTGGATAGGTTACAATTCTTATCATTTATATTATTATTTTTCTAAATATTGATATAACTAGAAACAGATTATAAACATTCCAAACACCTCATGTGCCCAGCATTGATAAGATTCCTATTGATATAAAAATTCAAAGATACACTTGTTAATGCCAAATGATACCATAATGTATCAGGCTATTTATCAGCTACATCCTTAATTAAATTTTAAGTGCCACAATTTGTTACTAGACATTAGACATGTAGCCAATAAATAGTCTGATGCATTACAGTATCGTTTGGCATTAACTGATAATGTCAGGTATTGAGATGTTTATATATATATATATACATATATACATGTATTCTATGGAGTTTCAAAATATTGTTATTGGATTAAAAAAATCCTTTTATTGAAAATTTGTTGTATTTTATTTAAGATGAGGAGCTCACTTCACATAATCTAATATGTTAATAATTTTTATTTCAGTGGCACCGAATATCAGAATTACGTAATGGATTGCAGTCAGATGAGGCATACGAACAACTTGAAATCAGACGAAACAAGCAATTCAGAAAAAGACAATTCTTTGGACAAGGAGGGCAGAGGTAGTGAGTGTCCCCAGTACGTGGGTAGACATTAGGATGTACATTAAACTCAGTAATTACTTCTAAAACATTTTTAAATAGTTTGTAGAAAATTTCCTTAACGCTAAAACTTTTTATTTTCTGAAAGATTTTATTTACTCCATCATTAAATAGACAATGCTACACTTTATTAACTTAAAATATAATGTGCATTATATCCAGTGATCAAATGAAAGCAGAACTTGCAAGAAGTAGCACAAATTCTATTTTCATTTGCTCACTCAATATTTATTACAAATATTTATTAAAAAAGCATTAATTCTGAATTAAAATACAGTCGACCCCTCTATAACACTGTTGATAATTCCGTTTTATATGAATTCCATGTTGTACAAGTTGCTTAGATTTTACAAATACGTGTGCCGGGCTGTGATCGGCTCATGTATTTGTAAAATCTAAGTGACTCGTACAACATGGAATTCATATAAAACGGAATTATGTGTGTATGTCTCTTTAATCCGACATTAAGTCTTTGTGTGATCAAGCAACTTTATGTGATCTAAAGTCACCAGATTGTCATGAACAACTTCTAAGAAATTTCTGATTTTAGATTTTGTTTGATAGAGGTGACTATCAATTAAGTTGTTTTTGATGCAAAAGAACATTAGAATTACAAAAGTCTAAGAATTAAAAAGTCTAAGAGTAAAAAAATTTCAGTAATATTTTCAGCAATTCTGGAATGAAAGCAGCTGGAACAAATGACAGAAATACGAGGTGATTTGTTTTGGATGAGATAATTTGAAAACTGTGTCATAATAAACATATTAGTCATATGAATTTCAAATTCTGTCACAACAGCAAGGTAAGGTAGGAGTTTCATTGGATAGTTTTGTCTCATGAAAAAAGTGGAAATGGCACCAACCATGGAACAATGTATCCTTTGGTTTGCACAGAGAGTGTGATGGCTGTTAAACATAAATTTTGTCATGTTTATGGTTTTGGGAAGGCATTTAAGTATAATTGAATAATGTGCTTGTATCACTAATATGAAAAAATAGGGTCAGTTGCATAGCTATTCTAGTTGTCATAAGTGTGATTCTGAGAAAGAAGCCTGTGTTTCTGCTGCATAGTTCAAGGAAAAATCTATGATGATTATGTTGTAATCAACGATTGAAGTCATTGTTAAATATTATATGACATTAATAGTACAACACATTGTGTATTGGTGATGTTTTTGTAAATATTTTTCCTGTTACATAATAAAAGGCTTGTGGCACTGTTGACCCCTTGGGAAATCATTGGTGATGGTGACCTGGTTTTACTTTCCCCTTCCACGAGTCAAGGCAGTGTTATCTTTTGTGTGATCTTTGTTCCTTTGATCCTTTGATCTTTGTTCCTTATATAACCAGTTATGTGAGTCTAACCAGTTTTTACTAATCTCTGAAAAGCAACATCCAGTCTAACAGATTATACTGTGTATGATAGAATCCTTGGAGTTAGATTCACTCTGTCACACACAGCATGTTAATGCATTGTTTGAAATTATCAGAAAATGTACCTGTATTGCTTATAGCATGTACTGTACAGTACAAGCATTATACTTGTACAGTACTGTACTGTACATGCTGTAAGCAATACAGGTACATTTTCAGGTAATGTGAAACAATGTGTTGACACATTACATGTAGCAGAGTTAACTCCAAGGAAAGTGCCTTTTTTACTTTTGTCATATGAAAAAACTACCCAATGAAACTGCTTCCTTACCTTGCTGTTGCGGCAGAATTTGAAATTACACAACTGTGACCAGCGGGTCGGCACCTCTTTGATGCCCTATCAGGACTGACACCACCATGTTCCTATTGACATGGAAGTCAAGATGGCATGTTGATTCAGTCACACGAGTGGCCATGTGTGCGAGCGATTGGTCGGAATGGAGTAAGAGACAGCGCGCTGAAAGTGATTCACGCAGAGACTAGAATAACGAAACAACCTTGTTTATTTAGGGAAACATTTATAGAAAAATACATGGACTCCAGGGGTCTAACTGACAAGGGTGATAAATAATTATATTCATGCCTTAGCGAGTTCTGAGAGAGAGAGTTTGCAAAAAAAATGCGCAAGGTGATAGATACATGACGTAATGGTGGGTTTTCCATAGGCTGGAGCAACCTCGTTGACCGGAGTCAGAAAGTTTGGTGGGAAGGAGACAAGATAGTCCTATTAGGTATTCGGCAGCAATGTTAATCCAAGGATGGCACTCACTAATTCTGTAGGTGATCAGGAAAGTTCAATAAGGTAAACAAGAAGGTGAAAGAGCCAGAGGCAATGTGTATAGTAAAACTGGATGACAACTGTACTTTCAGAAGAACGGCAGATGACTGCCTAACTTTTTTGGTTTCTTGTTATATTCAACTGATGAACCTGAGACAATAGGTTGGGAGGTTATGAGAAAGCATCACTTAGCTGCTGAGAACTTAACAAACAATTAACTCCCAGGTGCAAAAGTTGACAGTTATCCGACAAGATTGTATAGTTAGAAAGTTATGTTATGATTTAATTATGTAAATAAATTATGTAGTGCTGAGTCTCACACAACTAATGTGTTTATTATGACAGTTTTCAAATTATCCCCACCCAAATGGATTACCCTGTATTATTCCATTATTTCAAATATAGAACTAACAGTTAAATATGTTTGACAGTTTAAAGAAGTTAATAAGAAACAGTACTACTACCAATCCTAGTTTCATATCCGTTACAAAAATTATTTCAATGAAATAGAGACTTTTAACAGAATAGACACAAACAGTAAGAAAGAAAAAACTATACAGTGGGTGATCAGTTAATGAACATAATTCAAGACTTTGTTTGCTATCCGAATTGTTTGTTAACCAATTATCGATTTACCATAGGTTTTTATGGGACATCAAAATTATCGGACAGCTTCACTGACCTTCTTCAGGTTTGAAAACAAAAAAACAAAAAACTTCTTGTTTTCGAACCTGAAGAATGTCAGTGAAGCTGTCCCCAAATGTTAGTTGGTAGCAAAATTAAGCTTCATGTTAAAGGTTTTCTTGGAGCATTTTGATGTATGATAGTAAGTGCAGTTTGAGTTATAGAAGTTATAGTTTTTATGGAAATTTGATTAATTCATTTTGGAGACCCCAAAAAATAAAAATTATACACTTTCTTCCTACGTTTATTTATATGTAATAATAAAAATACATATATACACAGTCTTGCATTTTTATTAGTCATTTTTTTCCGTTTGTGGGGGTTAAAGAATCTGTCTAATGTCAATTGCTTTTCTCTCTTCTTCAAGATTTTTCAGAAGTAATTAATAGCATTGACGTTGTAGAGATCCCCAAGCCTATTAACCTCAACCTGGTTTGGATGTCATTCTAAGACTGTTGTTTTGACATCATCCCACTTCCTCAAAAGATGTTTAATAGCAGATATTGGCATTAATCCTCTTTTTCAGAAGAAAACATCTTGCCGAGTTTCTTGGTGTTATTCATTCAAGAGTTCTTGGTGTTCTTCTGTCGTCAGATCCATTTCAGATGTCATCAGGTTTTTATTATGAGCTCTTGTTCTTTATTTCTCAGATGTGATTTTTGTTACTCCTTTAGCTTCTTGAGTCTTCTTGATTATACTCTATTTTTCTTAGATAAGATTGAACAGCACACTACTGTAGACCTATTCAAGCCATACTGCCCAGCAACATCAGACATCTGCCCACTCTCTACCCTTGCTATTATACTCTCACCTTTTGAAAATAAAAACCGACGCAAAACTTAACGCATGCCCACCCAACAGTCTTGCAAATACTATAAAAGAATTGTTTCTGTCAGAAAAATGAAGGCTGGAATTACAAGGGAGAGTTTCAAAGTTCAGAGGAATACTATTCGATCAGTGTATACCAGGTTGAGCATTGATGTCGACATATCCCGCACTCCAAAAAGTTCCGAATTGTTGCCCGAAGATATGGGAAGACCAATCGGTATTCGTTATTTTACGTTGCTTCTTGTGTTTGTTCTGTGAGGTGTTTGTTGTCCGAACATAAAAACCTTTTGCGACAGTGTTCGTTATCCAATTTGTTCGTTAACTGATTACCCACTGTATTTACTTCTCTATATAATCTGATGATACAAAAGCACATTTATCCCAGTGTTTGGCAATACTTGGATATCAGCAGCGTACAAGATTTTGTCAGCATGTCTGAAATAAGATTGGACAGCCTCTTGAACAGCATCATCACTGGAGAAATGTTCATACTAGAAAGACTTTTAGGGCTCCAAAAAGATGAAAGTTATTAAGAGAAGATCCAGACTGAAAAGGAGATATGGTAGTCACCCAGTTGAATTCCTGGAAGTGGAATATATGGGATTGGGCATTGTCCTGCAAATAACAGGATGCCTTTTGTGATGAAATCAGGCTGCTTCCTCCACAGTGCCTTCTTCACACCTTCAACAACCTGATAGTTTTAGGTACTAGTCACAGTGACACAGTTAAGTAAAAAAATCCAAATGAATGATGTCCTAAAAAATAGTGACTATAATCTTGCCTGTTTATGCCATCAGTTGGAATTTTTTTGGTGGAGAGAAACATATGTCAGTACTGTTAAGCTATGTTGTGTGCACTGTAGAGAAAATTCTGACTAGATTTCCTGTTCTCTAACAAGACTAGACTGTAACCACATGTACTGTACACTATATTGGAATTTTCTCTCACTAGAGTAGTGCTAGAGTAACTCTATTGAGTCTTATCTATTATTTATATATACTAGAGTATATTTTTGACTTAGAGAACTCTCAGTCTAGAGTAGGGCTTTATGGAGAGTCAGTATTGATTCCTTAGGGGTTGACAAAAGTTTGAGAGGAGGCCAATAAAACAATGTAAATATTAAAAAATTTTTACATATTTTTTCCTTTCAAATAAATTTAGGAAGATGCCTTTTAAAAATTATGTTTCATATATATTTATGTATAATATAATAATGTATAATACATTGAGGTGCCAATTTA